TATTAGAAGGTCATAAAAATTAGAATGTCTTTTTAAGCTTTTTAAACAAATTCGATCAATAACTCACACTCATGTTTGTCAGTTTTAGGATTGATATTTTCTATAGATGGAAAGAATGAAAAAACTCAATATAAGTATTATTGTTAACACCAGAAGAAAAATCATCCAATAACTCATTTAATTAGAATTGTAATTAGGCACAATTATATTTCAATTATATCACATATGTAATTTTATTTACCATTGTGCCAACTAATACAATTAAATGAATGCTGCCAACCCATTCAAGTATATCAATGGTCAATCAAGGTAACTTTATAATGTATAATACCTTTGTAAAAATGGTAATAAAACTACTTTAAAAGTGTTTTTATCTATTTTCTGGCTACAATAAATTGGATTTTTTTTATCTATATGGTTATTATTGAAGTGGTACATCGTGCATACATGGTGTGTAAACATCTCCCTAAAACAGGTGAAAATCCCGTAAATTAACAAATGGAGTACAAAATATTCATAACCGAATGAGCCTAAAATTTTCTTCTAAATTGAATGATGAGTCTTTCTTATATAATTTGGCCATCACCTATCACAATAATCTGGAATAGACAGGAATGTAAACATCTCGAACAATAGAAAGTTCATATTAAAAAGATCACGATGATAAAGTGAAATAAAAAAGCACGGTGATTTAATTTATTAAACTACTCACAATTTAAAAAAGTGTTTGAGTCCAACTACTGTGAATTGTTTAGTCCATTTCTTTTTTATTATTAGCCCAACTATTATACAGTCAAATTTGTCTAACGACTAACATGGAAGCAACACATCTGTCCAATAATTTTCCTGATTGATGTTTTTGTAAACTAAAGTCACCAACTAAAAACAAAAATTGCGCTTAATCAAAAATACAAATCAATCAAAACAATTAATAACTGACATGTGCTTTGAAGGGAAGAAGGTATGAGAAACACTAAAACTTAGTTTTGTAATTTACTTGATGGTACAAATAAATTGCAATAGTTAAACATAAATAAAAAGTCTATACCAAATAAAGTAGCCGCTTTAATACATAAGTTTCGAATTTATTAAAACATACGTAGTATCAAAATAACATGAGAAAAAGAAATGTTGAACAATGCAAAAGAAATGTATGTGTAGTCTAAATATACTCTTCGTATATAGTTGGATATTTTAAGAAAAGCCTAATATATATCATGAATACATATGATAAATATATAGTAGTCCGAAAAAATTATCTTTGATCTAAAAAATTAAAAAGCTAGAATTAGAGGAGTCTAATAAACAGACTGACCCATTTGTTTACAGATCATGCAAACGAAAGTTCTGGACAGAAGGATTTCCTTTCCCATTTGATGATACTCTTGTGTTCTCGAAAAAGCTGCCTATCTCTTGCTAATTATTCTGTTTATTAATCTCGGCTTCTTTCATCGTCACCGCCTCGGCCTTGCCCTTGTGCATGATCCGGCTGGAAAACAGAGAATCCCCTATTTATAGAATATAGACTATATCTGAATTCTAGATTTAATTTTACATATAGTACATGCCGTAATTCCATATGTAGAGATAAACTCGATCTTCACCAGGGGCGGACCCAGGAAAGTCATGTTGGGGAGGCGAAAATATTTTTGAGGAGGTTCAAAATACTTTTTGGGAGAGCGAAATTTATTTTTCGTATATATATACACTAAAAAATTTTTGTTGGGGGGCGGTAATCCCCTGGGTCTCTACTACGGTCCGCCCCTGATCTTCCCACCTTAGCTCGTAGAAAACCATTAATGTTTTAGGACGCTGCTGTGCTGCTCAGATACTTCGTATATATTAAGAAGACTGCACATGGAACGGCCAAAAATTTAACGGGAAACCCAAACATCAGCCGCCTGCTGAATTATTTCACCCAATTGGAAATCACTCTTCTAGAAGTTTAATCGGCTAAGAAATACTCGGTATGATTAGTGGCTGAGCACTTTTGTTTGTTGGAATAATCTTCTAAAATACAGCGCACAATTACTCCATCCACTCAGTAACAATTACTGCATCCAATACACATAGATTGCTTCCGTTGGAATTTTCCTTTGGATTGCGGTACATGTTTCCTCTATGTACAATTTTGGGCGGGAACAACAAGTTTTCTTTTGCTATTATAATTATAATAGATGTATAATTACTTAATAATGGAAACTAGAATAGGAAAATTATTATCTACGCATCCAGCAGGCATCAACGTGTCACGTGTAGATGTCTAAATAAGGTATTAAAGATTTTAACTTTTTAGTATTACAAATGTTTTAGTGTGACTACAGTGAAATAATGTCTACTAAAGGAGTAAAGGTGTAAAGTTAAATACTCCCTCCGTCGCCCAATTAAGTTCCCGATTTGACTTCACACGTATTAAGAAAATAAATTTGACTTTACTGTGGAGTGCACTATTTTGCACTGTTCAAACACTGTTTGACAGTGTTTGGCACTGTTTTGCAATGTTTGACACTGTTTTGATGTAGATAATTTTCCAAATAAGGAAAGTAAAGAAGTGTGAACTTAATTTAGGGACTGTCCAAAAAGGAAAGTGATAACTTAATTGGGGGACGAAGAGAGTATTTAATATGTTGAATGTATGACAAATAGGTATAATCTAAAAATTATTGGGTTAATATTGCTATACTGGTAAAACAAATTAGTATGGTATGGATTAGATTACACGTCGTATGATATAAGCATGAAATAATTAATGTGATGGTATTGGTATTACTAAATTATTTATTTTCTTTGATTTGTCATTTATATTTATAGATATGATTCTTGGTTTCTGTTAATTTATTGTTTATGATTTTTGTATTATATATGAGTACAAAAAGAAAGAATAAGTTGAGATAATTAGTGAAATTCTCTTTCATGAATTTTTCTTTTGAACGTTCACGTTATATCTGCAATTTGAATATGCTTTTTTCATATGACTTTTTATGATTTGAATATGATATTTTTTTTTGTCTCGGACATCCAAAGTCCTCAAAACGGCTCTGTCTACACACAAGCTATGTGTGACAACTATTTTTCATCGGTGAATATATTATTCATAGAATTTGTATTGTGTGAACACATAGAGCGTGTATGACGTGTACAAGAAGACGGATGGAAAGAAGCTCCACGTGTGCGAGGCTTCTGACGTGTCGGACGTGCAAAAGGCAGGTGCACCCCGCGCTTGGACGTGAGACAAATTGGCGAATTGCAAAAACAACTGGGGTATTTTGACTTTCTCAAGGGCTGGGCCTCCTTTAGTGCCATGGTGTTATCCTGATTATCAGTGCATTTGTTTCTTAAAATTTTGTCAAAGATTACTGATGTGGAGAATAATAAATTAAAAATTGTATAGTTGAGATTTGTGCAGAATAAAGAGAAATAACTAAAATCATAAAATAATTTATTAAAAGAAAAAGTGATAATTTTTTTGGGACATCACAAAAAAATGTGCTAAAGTTTTCAGGAACGGAATCAATATGTGGTAACTTTTATTTATTTATTTATTTTATGTTGGCTACTTTCTTTACAGACTGTTTTTGTTGTTTTGCTAGGGCAGCTGTCTTCTTTCCTCAAAATAAGAGTCATTTATTTCTATATTTGAAAGTTTTTATTGTTTTTTTTGGAAAAATGGTCAAATAAGCGCACATACTATTATACATTCATCACAAAAAATAATCGTATAAACCTGTTTACTTTTAAAAAGCTATCATATCCTTTAGTTCCTGTTTATTTTTCTGTTTTTTTTCCTTTCTTAGCTTTTTTATCCACTTCTGTGTTCCCACGAGCCACTTCCTGTTTATTTGTTTTTGTTTTATTACGTATTTTCTTTCCTTCTTCTTTGGATTCTGCCGAGCTGTTTTCTTTTAATTTTTGTAAATTGTAAGAAAAAATTTCTAAGTCTATTCTCTGCATCTCCACTCCCTCAATCCGTTCCCCTAGTCATCGAAAAATAACTCCTCTTTTAAAAACAACTCATATTGTATTTAGCAATACTTTTTACTACCTCCTATTTGAACTATGGTGGGAACCTGAATACTACGATAATCAATTAAAAATGATTTCTTTTGTGTTGAATTGTATAGATGTCGGTGAAGACACAAGTCATTATTCTGCAAAATGAATTTACTTCTTTCAAGGATTTGAGATAATTCTCCGAAATTGCAATCACCAAAGTGCTAACAAAAAAGGAAGAAAATGAAACACAATTCAATACTCTCATCTCGGAATTAATAGAGCGGGGTAAGTATATTGAATTAGGGCATCTCCAATGAGAGGGTGAATTAAAGATTTTAATTTAGTATAGATGAAATGGAACTGACACGGGATTTGAGAAACAAAAGATGATGAAAATGAATTAAAAGTAACATAAAAAATGAAAATGAAAAATAAATTAGAAAATACTTAAATTCTACACATAAAAATTGTGAGGTAAAAATAGGATTTACATATAAGAGTGGGTAAGAGACACACCATCTCACTAAGTCAAAAGGCTTTTGGAGTCAAGTCAACAAAGCTAAAAAGTTACCATCTCACCGTCTTCATTTTCTCCATCTCCAGAGCCCAATTAATCCATTACTCATTTTATTTAGGGTGTGTTTGGGAGTGGGTTTTTGGAGGGGAGGGGAAAGCGTATGAGAGAAATAAACCCTTCTATTTGTGTTTGGGAGTTCAAATAATATGAGAGAAAGGTTTTAGGGTGTTATAAAATCTTTCTAAATCCTCTAAAACCAGGGTTTTCTGATTCCTCTGATTTGAGGGTTTTCTAAGGTATAGTTACGCAAATGACATATTTATTCTCTGAAACTAATACAGTTTCGGCACAAAAATTTTATGAGCCGTTACTCGCTCCATTTCTCTGGCATTGAAAGCCCTCAAGTCCCAAAACCTCCCTCTTTTGAAAATTGTAACTCCCAAACAAGAGGAGGGAATACCTTCCCATCTCCCTCCCCTTCCCTTTTCTCTCCTTCCCTGCCTTACCCTTCCCTCACCTTCAAACTCACACACTCACAAACACACCCTTAACGTACCTTTATTTAAAGCCCTCTTTGTCCTTGCTCCTTTTGCCGGGAAAATTATCTGTGCCCAAAATGACTGTCGCCTGTAAAGGCGCGGACATAACGACGGCTACATACGGCCGCACCGAGTGCATGCAGTGAGGCAGAGACACTAACTAAGCAGGAAGACCCGATCGGATTCACAGCTAAAACGATGGCTACATACGGCGTCGACCTCACCAGCAGCTTCAAGCCTGTACGTGATGTATAATTACGTGCTTTCTAAATATTCCACAGTAACTGATTTGTCTGTCTCGATCATCGTTGAAATTCATACTTCGTATAAGATACTACTATTTCTTCATCAGATCTTGCTGCATTGCATGAGTTTGTGCTAACTAATTCTCTTTGACAACTGTGGCAGAAATTTGAACCAACGGCAGAGACACTAACTAGGGAGGAAGATTCGATCGGATTCACAGATAAAACGATGGCTACGGACATCTCCAAGCTCACTGGCATCGTCAAGCCTGTGCGTGATGTATAACTAATAATTATGTGCTTCCTAAGTTTTCCACAGATACTGATTTGTCTGTCTCGATTATCTTTGCAATTCATTTAAGATACTAATATAGTAATATACTATTATTTCTTCATCAGATCTTGCTGCGTTGCCTGAGTTTGTGTTAACTAATTCTCATTGACATTGAATACAGGTGCCGAAATTTCAACTAACTGCAGAGGAGATAGCAATTAATGCCTGGCTCCCGATGACCTCTTCAAGGAATGCCAAGTGGTGGTATTCCTCTTTCCACAATGTTACTGCCATGGTTGGTGCTGGTGTCCTCGGCCTTCCTTATGCCATGTCTCAGCTTGGATGGTATGTCTCTCTATTTCTACACATTACTGCCATGGTTGGTGCTGGTGTCCTCGGCCATCCCATTTTATGTGTCTCATTTAACTTTGACACAATTATCAATTGAGGGGTGAAAAATAAAAGTTATATTTGAGATTTGAGTATACTAAAGTGAAATGCTATGGATCTTATTTTTTTCTTCCAAAAACACAATGTCACACTTATTTCGGGACAATCCGAAAGTAACACCGATAAAACGGGAGGTAGTACATAAAAATCATACTTTCCAATCCCTAATTGTTTATTCTCTGATTCGACCGTCATTTTTGTATCATATTCGAATTCTGTTTTTGGCCTCCATTAGGAGAGAATTAAGTTTATCTACTGTCAATTTCTTGTGAACTGTTTTAGGCATTATAATATAAGAAGGAGGTAGACCTATTCAGGGTTTCCATTTATACCAGAACAGGAACTCTCATTTTTGAACAGGAACCGTGAGACAAGGGCCTGTTTAGAACCTTTAGTTCTTAAGGGTGCTTAATTCGGTTCTAGAATTGTTTTAGGACTAGTATTTTTACCCGTGCCATACGGGATAAAATACACTTTTATATTTTATGTTTTATTATAGATGGCAATGAAAAATATTTGACGGTGTTGGTGCCGCTCCATGATATGAAAAGAGAGTGGATGACTGAATTGAATAAAGATGCATGTAACATTGCGACTCGATCTTAGTTGGTAGCTCACCATCTCATCAAATGAGTGAACAATGACATCATCTTTTCAATCCTCATTGTGAACTTTCGATCATTGTAAAAGACTTCATAGACTGAGGCAAGATATTATGTACATCTATATTTAATGTTGTCATTATTATATTTTACTCTCAAGTTGTTTTCATTTTTGTTACCGTGTAAATTTGTTTTTGTTATTTATAATATTTGGTAAATGGAAATCGGGAGTCGGGCACTTAAATATGTCGATTGAGGAAGTAATAATTATTAATAAATTTCAGGGGACCCGGTGTTGCCATGATGGTGATGTCATGGATAATCACTCTATACACATTGTGGCAAATGGTTGAGATGCACGAGATGGTTCCAGGAAAGCGTTTTGACAGATACCATGAGCTGGGGCAGCACGCTTTTGGTGAAAAGCTGGGACTATGGATCGTTGTTCCACAACAGCTGGTGGTTGAGGTCGCGGTGGATATCGTGTACATGGTTACTGGAGGAAAATCCCTCAAGAAATTCCATGACTTGGTTTGCAAAGACTGCAAAAACATCAAACTCTCCTACTTCATCATGATCTTCGGTTCTGTCCACTTCGTCCTCTCCCACCTTCCCAACTTTAACTCCATCTTCGGGGTGTCTCTAGCAGCAGCTGTTATGTCATTGAGTTACTCGACGATTGCTTGGGCGGCTTCGGTGGACAAGGGCGTGCAACCGAATGTGGATTACAGCTACAGATCTCCGACCACTAGCGGCACTGTTTTCGACTTCCTCACGGGGTTGGGTGATGTGGCTTTCGCTTTTGCAGGTCACAACGTGGTGTTGGAGATTCAAGCCAGTATCCCTTCCACATCTGAAACCCCATCCAAGGGACCCATGTGGAAGGGAGTGCTTGTTGCTTATATCGTTGTGGCCTTGTGCTACTTCCCTGTTGCCTTCATCGGCTACTGGGTGTTTGGAAACCTAGTGGAAGACAACATTCTGATGTCCTTGCAGAAACCTACATGGCTCATTGCTATGGCCAACCTCTTTGTTGTTGTTCATGTCATTGGAAGTTATCAGGTAGCAACACTGTATATACACTCTCATCGTCTACTTATTCGTTCACTGCATCAAACAATATCAATCTTTTTTTGTGCCTATTTTCATGCTGCAGATCTATGCGATGCCCGTCTTTGACATGTTGGAGGCATTTCTGGTTAAGAAACTGAAGTTCAAGATAACTTGGCAACTGCGTTTCATTACCAGGAACATATACGTGGGTACGTAGGACATACACATTCTGAATAATATCATCAACTAGTTGAGTTGCACAGTTAATTAACCTTAATTAATTCATGATTGCAGCAATCACAATGTTTATTGGAATCACATTTCCGTTCTTTGGTGGGCTGCTTGGATTCGTTGGAGGATTTGCTTTTGCCCCGACAACATACTTCGTAAGCTGCAGCTGCTGCAATGCACACAGACCATACTCTTCATTTCACTTGAATAGTATTGGGCCATATGGCTGGTATATGTAAATGTATAGTATAATGTTAGTCTATGTGTTTTGCAGCTCCCATGTGTGATGTGGCTAGCCGTTTACAAGCCGAAGAAATACGGTCTTTCTTGGATCACAAATTGGGTATGTGCACTAGTAATTTGACCCTAAATCTAGGCTTAGGTTATGAATTCATTCATCATCTATGCCCGTTGATTGATTGCAGATTTGCATTTTTCTGGGAGTTGTATTGATGGTTTTGGCACCCATTGGCGGGCTACGGAATATCATCCTACAAGCCAAAGACTACAAATTCTACTCTTAATTTACAACACAAACTCGCTCTTTTGCTACAAATATTTATGCAAACATAGTACATTAATTTAATAGTTAATTTCAAAAACTTTGGAGGGACTTGATAGTTCCTGATCCTTAGTGCTCCTGAAGTTGATGAAGTACCAGGGGAATATAGAAAATGAATATCCGGAAGGAAGACAATGTGCTGGCTTTTTCTTGATTTTTGTAATGTTCCCTTTTTATTACACACACATACATTATGCGGTTCCTGTTCTGGTTCCCTAAAGTTTGGAACCTTGAACCGGCGGTTCGGTTCCGATTCCAGTTCAGTTCCGAATCGGGGATAGGTCTACATACATACACCAAACCTCCACCACAAATATTCTTATACGGAGTATTTTTTCTTAACTTACGGAAAAATATTATAGAGGATGTAAAAAGATTCTCTAGTACATTTTCCCTTATTGGTGTACACCATACCCTTTTCATTATAGAGGATTGATTGCTATTTAAGAGTGATGTAAAAAGATTCTCTAGTACATTTTCCGTTGTGTATCAATTTTCGGCCAATGTAGTATTTTATCAGTGTACGCAATTCAGGGTGTACAGTTAGCACTGATGTGTTTACAAGTTGGTAAAGTCTCGGATGTTGATAGTGTGAACAATCCTCAGTTGCATTACAAGTATTTGGAATGGTTTTTGAGCACATTTAAACACGAGCCTTTTTTGAGTTTTTATTTACACAACAATGCTACTCGTAGTAAACAATGTAATCTATATACGAAGTATACTTATTTATTCAAAAAAAAGTAATCTATATGAAAAAATTGTCCTAAATAGGACTAAAATATGGTTAAAATTCCATAATATGAGTTATATGACATTAAGTTTATTATTCCCTAAATAAGACTCCCAATTACCTTTTTACCCTTCATCTAACAAAACCTCAAATGGCTATCGGCTCCAACGCAGACCAATAGCGATCAGATCCGCCCAGGCCATCTGCGATGAACACGATTTGGAATGAAGACACTCAGGCTATCTGCGATGAAGATCAACAGCGAATATGTAAATTTTCCCATTTTCTCCATTATCTCTACTTTCGAAAAAATCAAAATGTCTTGTGCATAGAAACAAAAAAGGGCGAGAGCTGCCGAATGATTAATCGATTCGCCAACAATGTTTGAAATTCGCATATAAAATGCTAAGATATATAGATAACTCATAGAGAGAAAGCAAAACCGAAGAGCACACCGGTGAGTAGAATCAATTGAGGAAATCTATAGAGTAGCAAGAGAAAAAATGAGGTGCATCTCCAACTTGGAGGAGGAGGAGGATGGCGTGGTGTGAGCAATCTAGATGAAGCTTGAAGGAATTCAGTCCAAAGGAAGCAACGTCCTTGAGATTCATTCCATTGTCTTTCACCAAAGGTAGTACTGATTTGGTCTTCTCTCTCTTCCAAGCCTGGAAACCGCCAGCTCGATTGCCTGGTTGGCAGATGATGGTGGGACAAGGAATTCGAATAGAAATCCATCGGCGATGCTCAACCACGTCCATGAGATCCATTTCTCTGAGAAGAGAGCTGAAAGTCCATCCGATCTCTCGCAGGACAAATCTCCCATCGGCTTTGCCATATTTTTTCACCAGAAACGATGATCGGTAATCTCCCCTGCACCTCTCCCAATATTACTCTACTTATGGAAGACGTTAGCAGACATGGCTAAAAGTGAAATAAAAAAAAACTAAAATTGAAAACAGAAAAGGTTAAAAATGAAAAGGGAAAACACTTAGGCCATAAATGATATCTTGAGCATAAAAGGGCACCAAACGGGTAATTACCACAAAATTCAATATAGAAAGGCCCAATTTTAGATCAAACTTTGAAAATACTTTTCCTTTATTTTTCGTTTTTGGGTCCTCACTGTTCTTCAAACTGGACTTTTCATTTTTAAATTTTTTATACAACTTACCAAAAATTTAAATCAAATTTGTGATGTTTAAATTATACGGAGTAATTACTTGTAACTTGTTTTTATAACCATACGTTTAAAGAAATTGTTCCAAAACATTATATAAATTATAAACAAAACATTATAATGCATGGGGGAACTCATGGCTCGAATTTGCATCTAATTCTTATTCATTATATCGGAGGGATTTGACTTATGATTGGTTGGTATTCACTATTCAGCAATACCACATGAAATGCCAAAAAAAAATTGCGCACATGCGGTGCTCAAATAGAAGGGTTATGAAACACACATTTGATTGCAATGAATTGTACGTAGTGACATTTGATAGTTTAACTAATTAAAACAAACATAACTTGTAATGTGCTATGGTGAGTAAAAAATCAAACAGGGTCGTCTAATCAATTCGGACACCCTGGTTCCAAATGTAAAATTGAGGCCCACATTAAGAATGGCGCGATGTCTCGTTAAAAACCTCATTAGGAAAAACTCTATGGGAAAAAATCCTAATGAAGAAAAAAGATCACACCTGATCCCCCAAAATGAACTCCAAGGGGTGAACCTTTCGGCCTAGGTGTGGAGTTGAAGCGGTGTCCGTCTGATGAGGGGACGCCAACCTGGTGGTGAGGACGACAGCGCTGATGAGCCGGTCCGAATATGAGGACGAGGTGATGGATGCCTGTCTGAATGTGAGGACGACAATGGTAATGATCCGTGCGTCATATGAAGGCGACGGTCGCTGTCCAGGAAGGGAATTGCAAGCCCGGTCGCTATAACAGTACCTCGGCATTGGGAGCCGGTCTCGAGATATGAGGACGACGGCACTGGGGGACCGGTCCGAAATCCATGCAACGGTCTCCATCCGGTAAAGAAATGGCTAAGACCGGTCTTAAGATAGAGCATCACACCATAGCCGAGGGGCTGGTCGTGATGTGAAGACGACGGCGATGAGGAGCCGGTCCTACAATCCATGCAACGGTCGCCATCCGGTGAAGGAATGGCTAAGACCGGTCTTGAGATAGATGATCACGCCTTGGCCGAGGGGGCGGTCGTGATGTGAGGACGACGGCACTGATGAAGCTCCTCGTCGTATGAAGGCGAGGGTCGCCATCCAGGAAGGGAATGGCGAGCCCGCTCGCTGGCTCAAGACGCTCGGCGCTGAGGAGGCCGGTCTTGAGATGAAGGATCACCTTGAGACCGAGGGGTCTGCTGTGATCTGAGGACGACGGCGCTGATGAAGCCGGTCCAAATAAATGATGACGAAGGTGTTGATGGATCCATTCGTCATGCAAGCTCGAGGCTCTCGACATTGAGGAAGTCGGTCTTGAGATGAAGGATCACGTTGAGACCGAGGGGTCGGCCGTGATCTGAGGACGACGACGCTGATGAAGCCACTCCTCGTATGAATGCGAGGGTCGCCATCCAGGAAGGGAATGGCGAGCCCGCTTGCGAGTTCAAGACTCTCGGTGCTGAGGAGGCCGGTCTTGAGATAGATAATCACGCCTTGGCCGAGGGGCCGGTCGCGATGATGAAGCCGATCGTCATATAGTGGTGATGGTCACCATCCAGGATGGGATGGTGAGCCCGATCGCTGGCTCAAGACTCTCGGCGCTGAGGAAGCCGGTCTTGAGATAGATAGTCACGCCTTGGACGAGGGGCCGGTCGTGACATGAGGATGGACGACACTGAGGGGCCAGTCCGAAAATCCGTGCAACGGTCGCCATCCGATAAAGGAATGGCTAAGACCGGTCTTGAGATGAAGGGTCACATTGTGACCGAGGGGTCTGCCGTGATCTGAGGACGACGGCGCTGATGAAGCCGCTCGTCACGCCGAGGCCGAGGGACCCCTCACGATATGAGGACGACGACACTGAAGGGCCAGTCAGGAAATCCATTCAACGGTCACCATCCGGTGAAGGAATGACTAAGACCGGTCTTGAGATAGATGATCATGCCAAGGCCGAGGGACCAGACGTGACTCGAGGATGACGGCTATGATGAAGCCGATCCAAGTAAATGATGAAGAGGCATTGGTGAAGTCGTGCGTCATGTAGTGGCGATGGTCACCATCCAGGAAGGGATGGTGAGCCCGATCGCTGGCTCAAGATTCTCGACGCTGAGGAAGCCGGTCTTGAGATAGATGATCATGCCTTAGCCGAGGAGCCGTGCATGATTTGAGGACGACGGTGCTGATGAAGTCGGTCCAAATAAATGATGACGAAGGCGTTGATGGAGCCATTCGTCATGCAAGGTCAAGGCTCTCGGCATTGAGGAAGCCGACCTTGAGATTAAGGATCACGTTGAGACCGAGGGGTCGGCCGTGATTTGAGGGCGACAGCATTGATGGAGCCGTTCGCCTGAAGATGAAGGATCACGTTGAGACCGAGGGATCTGCCGTGATCTGAGGACGACGGCATTGATGAAGCCGGTCCAAATAAATGATGACGAAGGCGTTGATGGAGCCATTCGTCATGCAAGCTCAAGGCTCTCGGCGTTGAGGAAGCTGGCCTTGAGATGAAGGATCACGTTGAGACCGAGGGGTCTGGCGTGGTCCGAGGACGACGACGCTGATGAAGCCTGCTCGTCGTATGAAGGCGAGGGTCACCATCCATGAAGGGAATGGCGAGCCCACTCGCTAGCTCAAAATGCTCGGCGCTGAGGAAGCCGGTCTTGAGTTAGACAATCACGTCTTGGCCGAGGGGCCGGTCGTGATGTGAGGACGACGGCGCTGATGAAGCCAGTCATCTGAAGATGAAGGGTGGTGGAGCTGGTCCTATGATGAGGATGTCGAAGCCGTACCTATGATGAAGGACGACGTTGGGCGCTCGTCTGATCCGCATGTATGGTCTTGCTTCGTCCATAATGCATAGTGTTGCCTGATATGTAGTTAGCCAAATATGTGGCTTGATTTGTGGGGATTTTATGTTTATTGCTCGAGGCCGGCGAGTGCACGGTCCTTCGGCTGTCCCTCTTTTATTTGTGGGGATTTCACCAAGGCCGGTGAGTGCACGGTCCTTCGGTTGTCCCTCTTTTATTTGTGGGGATTTCGCAGAGGCCGGCGAGTGCACGGTCCTCGGCTGTCCCTCTTTTATTTGTGGGGATTTCGTCGAGGCCAGTGAGTGCACGGTCCTCGGCTGTCCCTCTTTTATTTCTTCCTCTACTGCTTTGAGCGAGGAGTGGGGGCTCCTTCTTTCAGGCTCGACCGAGGGGGTTGCTATTCCCTCAGCCGATAGGGATTCCAGGAGGGCATCTGTTCGGCCTCTAGCGCTGGCGCGTCCCTAGACCTTGGGGGGTCCCGTCGTCTATTTATGGCGCGGGCTAAGCTTTTGGTCAGTTATCGACGGCTGCCGTTTCCCAACCCCAAGTGTGGGGATTTTGTCACCTCGGCCATTCTTTCAGGCCTTTCGTAATGCGATTTAGCGCGAAGACGACGCGGTGAGCTTCCCATTTCAAGACGTGGGCCGTTTGCGGGCCCCTCGTCCTGGGACATCGTCGGCCATGCCTGAGCGTTTCGCTCGAAGGGGCCGAGACGATGTGCTGTTTTGTGTGGCGTCGTCGGCCATACCTGAGTGTTTCGCTCGAAGGGGCCGATGCGACGTGCTTTGTTTTGTGACATCCTTTACTTAAACTTTACAAGAGATAAGCGGAATACAACAGGTGCGTTGTTCATGACAACGGCTTTTATTAGGGCCAGTGGCTCGAGGCCGAGGGTGGTAACTTTTTAACAATCTG